TCAGTAGTTCAAGCATTGTGTCATGCTTTGCAGTTTCATTCAAGTCCTCTCTCAGTCCCTCGAACATCCTTTGTGGATGGCAAGCAGGTAACAGGTGTTGTAAAACTGCTCCAAGCCTTGGTTTCCTCTTCTGTAAAATTGAGATCTATGAGTGGAGCGGGGTCACGGCACTAATGAGTGACAGAACTGGTGCCAGAACTTCCTTCTTCTAATTGCTAATCCTGTGCTCTCTTTGTGCATCATAACAAAACCCGTATTATGGTGGAAGCTCGGTCACCTTGTGGGCACCAGGGAAGGCACCATTATGGAGGATAATTTTCTAAGTAAACAAGGGTACAGCGTTGGGCTGCACCCTGCGGGCCTACAAGCCCTGTGCTTGCCCAGCTTCAAGACTGAAGAAAGAGCCTGGACTCAGCAACAGAGACATCAGTAGTTTAATGGATGGGGGATCTTACACACGTGAAGCAAGGTCCTGGAGTGACATCCCACAATGTGTGGCTGACAGCGGGCAGGACATGGTGGCAGTCTTCGCTCTCAGGGAGAGTGGGAGATTACCAGTTATAGGGCAGTTGACCTCAGGTAGGCTCATTAGTTACCAGGGAAACCAGTAGGGGGCACACCCCTCACTACCCCTTTGATAAGAACAGTCACTAGCTGGGGCCTGAGGCAAGTATATAGGAAGATCACTCATGTGCCTAAGATGTAGGTGAAGCAGGCACTGGCTGGGCAGGGGAAGTACAGAGAGCAAGAGAACAGCCACCTTTAGTGGCCTCACCATACATGCAGCTGTCTCAACCTTTTAATTTTATTTGAGTTTTTTAAAAAAATTATTTATTTATTTATTTATACCTGTGTTGGGCCCTTGCTGCTGCACCCGGGCTTCCTCTAATTGCGGCGAGCGAGGGCTACTCTTCGTTGCGGTTCGCGGGCTTCTCATTGCGGTGGCTTCTCTTGTTGCGGAGCATGGGCTCTAGGCGCGAGGGCTTAAGTAGTTGCGGCACGTGAGCTCAGTAGTTGTGGCGCACGGGCTTAGTTGCTCCGCAGCATGTGGGATCTTCCCGGACCAGGGTTTGAACCCTTGTCCCCTGCATTGGCAGGCAGATTCTTAACCACTGAGCCACCAGGGAAGCCCTTAATTTGCTTTTTAAAATTTAAAATTGTACGGCAACCTGTTTATCTCCTTCACACACTGTGATACTAGTGCGCTCCCCAACTTCCTGCACTTACTAGGGACGATGCACCCAGCCACTCACCAGCTGTGACTGCATTGCGGTGTCCTGTCCTCCTAGGGGTGGAGGGACAGGTACCTGTTGGGGGACCTTTTCCATCATTTGGATGCATACGGACTGGAGGCTCCTTAGCTCCGGCGACTGCTCAGTCCAGTGAGACACCAGGAGCTTTGCGTTCTTGCCCTGCTAAGAACACCCCAGTCTCAGAACACACCTGCCTCAGTCACGGGCTCTCTTCCCAAGAATCTGCTACTCTCTGCTTTTGCCACTTCTAATTTCTGATTCTGTTTTTCTCTCTGCCACACCCTCCCTTGTGATTTCCCTTCCTCTTCTCTGATCCACACATTCTTTCAGCGAGCATTGGTTGAGCACCTCTTACATGCTGTACCCCGAGGATGCAAAGGTAGAGGAGAACACCAGACAAGAAAACGCATGTACCGTGGCTCCGGGAAGCATGGAGCTGAGTTGGGGGAGGACTTGTTCTGCCTGGGGAACCTGGGAAATCTTCACGGGGCAGGTGACTCTGCACGTGTTCACCTGTGGAGGCTGGAAGGGAGTTCTCAGGCCAGTGAACAGTGTGATCCAACTGACACATTTGCCAGCAGTGAGAAGTGATGTGACTAGAAAATCATAACCTTGAGGTTCAGGGAGGCAGTTGTGCGGCACTGCTGGAAAGATAGCCAGGGGCCAGGGCTGCAAGGCTCTGGTGTTGCCACTGCCGAGGTGTTGACCTCACCTGGAGGTCCTACAAGCCCCAGAGGGTTTCCATGGCTGGCCTGCGTGCACACGGACAGGCGCCAGGCCAGGTGGGACCGAGGGGACAAAGGATCGGAAGGAGGGCTCCGGTCAGGAATCCTCTGCAGTAACCTGGAGAGAGGACGAGGACCAAATGCAGGCTGAGCCCGGAAAGAAGAGGGCACAGTTAATAAACATTTCGAGAAAGAGTCATTAGGGCTTGGGGAGAGGAGGGACGGGATGGTCAGAATTGGTCCCAAGCCGCCAGCGTAGAACCCTCTGTATCACTGGTGAGCCCTGAGCTAACAGCAGGGCTGCAGGAGGTCGGGGGAGGGGGGGGGATTAGTGGAGAAGAGGTGGTGTTTGGATTTGCTGGTTTAAAGGTGCCTTTGGGATTTCCAGGTGGCAGTTGGAAATATTGGTTCAGGCTCAGGAGTCAGAGCTGAAGGTATGGTGACTTAAGGATTTAGATGATGGTTTTGACCTTAGACGGCCCAAATAGAGTATGTGTAGGAAAAAAAAGACAAGAAAAAGAGAAGGTGGCTGATGACACATCAGAGAATATGGCCTTAAAGGATGGCTGGCATTTTACTGTAACCGTACTTTGTTCGGATGTAGTGAATAGAGCACCGAACCGACCAGCAAATGCTTAAGGGTCCGGTGGTGGAGGAGGCACCCCGCAGAGACTTAGGTTAGCAAAGGTGATTCCGAGAGCAGAGCGCCACTGATGGGGGTGGCAGGCAGGAATGTGAAGCTGGGGGCAGATGCCGCTCAGCAGTTATGGTGAAGTGACCTTTGGGGCTCATGACTCAGCTTGCTGGCGCCAGTGAAACTTTGTGTAAGTGCAGTTTCTTCCGCTCTCTGAATGTCCTGTTGCTTCCCAGTTTTCACAGGAAAGAACTGATATTTTAGATATTAGCTAATTAAAACATCCCTTTCTTTCTAATTGGAAAACTGAACTGTGTGCACATATAACTATTTGATCCTTCTTTTCCATTTTAGCTGTTTTGCAGCTCAAAAGACTCTTTTTCTCTCCTTCAGACGGTAGATCTTGTCCTGGACCTAGCCAGCCAACAGCATATTAGAAAGTTCCTAGCCAGAAATTTTACTCTACACAGATTTGGTTATACTAAGGCCTTTTTTTTTTTCTTTTTCCTTTTCATTTATTTATTTTATTTTAATTATTTATTTTTGGCTGCGTTGGGTCTTCGTTGCTGCGCGCAGGCGTTCTCTAGTTGCAGCGAGCGGGGGCTACTCTTCTTAGCGGTGATCAGGCTTCTCATTGTGGTGGCTTCTCTTGTTGCGGAGCATGGGCTCTAGGTGTGCGGGCTTCAGCAGTTGCAGCTCGCGGGCTCAGTAGCTGTGGCTCACGGGCTGTAGAGCGCAGGCTCATTAGTTGTGGTGCACGGGCTTAGTTGCTCCACAGCATGTGGGATCTTCCCAGACCAGGGCTCGAACCTGTGGCCCCTGCATCGGCAGGCGGTTTCTTAACCACTACGCCTCCAGGGAAGTCCCTATACTAAGACCTTTTAGTCTGAACATCTATTAATATATGCAGCGAAGTTTACATCTCGTGTACATGGCTTCAACCATAAATGTACTGAGAGTACCGTGCTCGTGGTGCACTGGATGATTTGGCCTGCCCCTGTGCTGGGCTGCAGTAGGTGGAAGTCCGGTTTTCTCTCCATCTGTTTCAGTCTCCTGTTTCAGACAGCTTTCATGGTATCACTGACTCTCCAAATGGATTATGAATCTTGTATTTTAAGAAAATGTGTGTAATTTTTTGGGGAAAGCTGTAACTTCTATACATAAGCAAGCCACTTCACCTGATGCTCAAAGAACTAGCGATCTGTCCCAGCGTTGGAGGAAGTAAGCTGTTTTTAGGCCCACTGGGAGATAATAAGTCCACTTCTGAGTCTTCCTAAGGGCTTTTCAAGGGTATTTTGGACTATACACTGTTCCCCATCCCTGCAGCCTTTAAATCCTAGCATCACATAAGACGTAACTATGAGGGTCGATCACTCGTAAATGAAATCAACTTCCCCTCTTTGTCATTTTTTGGAGGGAACACCAATACTGTGTTTGGTAAAAGGACCACGAGGCCAGCTCAGAGCAAAGAGGACAATTTGAAACCTTTGGTGTGCTGAGTTCTGGAAGAGAGGATGGCCTCCTAGAGAGTAGAAGTAGGGATGTCTGTGAAGTTGGGGACTGAGAGGTCACCAAGGTGCTGGACTGTCAGAGAAATGTCACCCAGTGGGAAGATTGGGATCAGGCATTAACACCCTTACTTCTCATCTCAAGTCCTCCAGGTACAGCCAAATGGAAAGCATTCCACCTCCTTTGGCCTTTCTTTCCTCAGCTGAGATGAGATGACTGTGGGTGAATTTGCCTCAGAGGAACCGAGGAAACAGGTGGACAAATCCAAGGAAAGGGAGGTCTTTCAGATCGGGTTGAGGTTCTGTTTTGTATGACTTATTATAATTACCATCATGTTGGGAAGCCTTCACCTGGGGAAGTGGCATTATTTAGATACTTGCAGGATCTCTGAGGCTGAAGAAGGAAGAATTTGCACCAGTGTCTGTGTACTTCACCCAGGATAGTTCTTGGGCTGAAGCAATGCCTGTTAGGTGACTTGGCTCCCTTTTGAGTGTGTGTGTGTGTGTATCTCCATTTTGCATGTACTTGGTATCTACTCTTTTTACCTGCCTTCATCTCTCCATCAGTCCAGGTCCTATATCACCTGTAAGACCCAGGACTAGACTCTCACAGAACACTTTTCTAACTATTCTGGCTCATAGTAATCGTCCCTTTTATATTCCTGTGACTTTTTCAGTTTATATCACACAGAACAGCAATTTTCTCAACAGTCTTTTCTGGTGGTTTGTGTGCAGTTCAGTTCTGGGCACAGAAATGTAGATTACTTTGTTTTATTCTCTTGTTGTTTTGCATATACATTACCTGTAGCACCAGCTAGCATGGAAGTTCCTTGATAAATACTGTTCTTTTTGTTTTGTCATTTTTTTTTTTTTCCTGTAGAGCTTTCATTGTTGAGGTTCCTCAGTGCTGAACTAACCAGAGGGTACTTCCTTGAACATAATGAGGCCAAGTATACAGAAAGAAGAGAAAGAGTGTACACTTGTATGCGAATACCAAGAGAATTGGAAAAGGTACTTTTTTTTTTTAACTCGTCGTTTTGAAAATGATTTCAATATGTTAATTCTATCAAAAAAATTGTGAACAGCTTGAGTTGCGTTTTTAAAATATTGGAAATAGCGTGATCATAAATAATTAAATATATTGGGGGAGTAGGAATTCCCATTCAGGAAGAGTCTTAAAAAGTGTATTTTTAGTGTAAGATCCAGTGATTTTTAACTTTGCAACTTATTAAACTTACCATATTCCCATTTGTGTCCCACCCAAATAACTTTTTCAAGGAATTGCTCTCTACTTATTCCTTTAGTTCTCTTCAGTTTTGTTTTACTAGAAGCAGTTTTTTTCCCATTCAGAGTCATATAAATTATTTAATTGCACCCTTTTTTTTAAGGTTTCAGTTTCTCAGAAAGCCCTCGTTTTTAAAAACAGTTTCTTCAAAGAAAAACGACAATTTGTTTCACCTTCATCACAGAAAACATCTCAGCATAGGATAAACATAGTAATAGCAGCACTAAATCTTTGCACATAGGGCGCTCCCTTGATTGTGTCCCAGGCCATCAAGACCAGTCAGATACGAAATCAAGGCCGCTCTGTCTGCATTGATAGAGTTGACCAGTGTGAGCAAGAAGGAAAGAATTAAGAAATAATTCAGCTTTAGCTATACTGAAACACGTTTTCATACTTTTATAGTAACGTAAAATTTGTAATGTTCCAGTCACTTCTCTAGAATCATACTTTACTATTGGAGTTGGTATCGGAAGAGTTTGGTTGGTTTGGAGTTGGGTTGCTTTCTCAGTGTATTATAATAACAAGAGGTGTGGTACAGTGAAAAGGAAGGATGCCCGGTTTGAGAGATGTTGCTTTCAGTAGGTTCTTAGTGGCGTATCATGTGCTGAAGCTTTGGAAAGTTCTGTATTAGGGTGAGATTTAGAGAGCTAGGGAGCCAGCAGACATTTGAGACAATGAAACAGCTTGTTGCCTTTGGTCAGGATCATTAAACATGCGTAGCTATTATTGTGTTGCTGCTCTTCTGGGGAGTTCTAGGGTTCTGTGGAGGAGCCGAGGGCTGGAGGTGAGGAGGGAGGTGGAGGCCTGGGGGGCACCCTCGACAGCACTCCTCCCCAGGTGCAGCATCAACCTTATTTTGTGTATTGGAGTTGCTTTAAGATTTTGTCCTGGAGGGACCTAGGGGGTGATGTTTCTTTTGCTTGAGAAAAAAAAAAAATTTTTTTTAAGGTAAGTCTTGTGTCTTTCTTAAAACACTTTAACCTGCTTTTCAAAGCTCACTGTTTTCTACCAATGATAAGCCATGGCTGGAAATGTGAGGACACTGCTGGAGGCGTGGACCTCTGCGGCCTGGACTCTTGTCGGGGACAGTGCCAGCCTCGTCCGCCCACCTGTCTGAGCTGCTCTGGACTCCCATTTTGCTCTGGGAGAGCACAGAGGGATTTGCCTGCAGTCACAGGCAGACTTTATGGACACGCCCGGGAAGCTGGTTCGACACGGAGAGGTGTCCATCTGACCCCTTCTATCATCCCACCTGTGGCAGAAATAGTGCGTGATGGCAGCATCCTCTCGTAATTCTGTCACCTCATCAGAGGCAGGTTCAATACACCCATCGTTCTCTCTTAATTAGCAACATTGAAATCACAGACAGGTTTCTGGGTAGATTTCTCACAGAAACTTGTAAGCATTTCATGTTTGTTATTGTATTAAATTGTCTTCTGGGGGAAATCCCTGCAGGTCTTTCTGGGACTGCAGTATAAACCATTGTTTTTCAAACTGTGGTCCGGTACAGGACCACTGATAGGTGGAGTAACCCATACGGTTACTAATCAGTTAGGATTTATTTTTTTTTAATTAAAGAATAGAAAAAGTATCAGATTACATTCATTGCCTGTGCTAAGGGTAAGTATTTTTTCTTAAAACTTAGGTCTCACTTCTATGTGTATAAAACGTATTAACGTCAGAAAAGTTGAATGGGCACTGCTCATGCACAGTTGTAATTATTCTAATCCTGTTTCCCATGAGAGAGGCTTTTAGCTTTAGGCCTATTTAGGAAATTTTCATTTAGTCTCTTAGAACAACACTTTAGCAATTTTACTGCTTAAAATGTACGAAAGAATGTCTTCTTTTTCAGTTTAGAGCAATTTCTTCTTCTAAGACTAAGTGAAGCACAGAGGAAGGTTAGATTTCAGTTTAATTCCAGGCTTAAATGTCTCTCAAAACAGCATGAATTCACTCTGCTCTCTCTAAGGCCTTTATTTGATATGTGGGGATCCCACTTCAGACTTTTATTGTGCGAGGTGAGAGGCTATCTAGATATTCACGCTAATCTAATTTATTTTTTATTGGTTTCCTTTGTGTTTGTCTATTCTAATATGTAATACCTTATTCGTTTTTTTATTGTTCTTGTTTTTTTGGGTAAATGCTAATATATTTTCATCTAACCTTTGCAGGAAGAGAAAGTTGATAATTAAAGAGCACTTTGCGTCTACAGGGATTGCAGATACTATAAAGCATGTAATTACTGCATATTATACTTTAAAGTCAAGAGAAAGGTCAGCTTAGTATCTCTTACCGAACCTGTTTAATCATTGTAAAAAAAAAAAAAAAAAAAATCCCATGTTTTTTGTGTCAGTGGATAAACACATTATACTTGACATTTAATAAAGGTGAATTGCTTACATATTTAAAATAGTATTTCCAATTATTAGCACTTTTTTACATTTGAACTTTTCAATCTTAGGTAAGCGTATGAAATTTTGGAGCATTTTGTTGGCTTTGGGGCAACATTTCCTCTTTTCCTCCACAATCCCTTTTCCCCTGTGCCCACACACACCCCTTGGGTTCTTGTCCTAGATCTGCTGCTAACTGCTTACGTGGTCCACTTTGGGGGCTGTGTTTTTCTCTTCCATTACAAGGAGGAGGCTGAACTGTACTTTCTGTGCATCCTGAACTGAGAGCCAGGATAGCAACGTGGGTTAAGGGCATGAACTCTGAAGTCAGTCTGCCTGGACTTGGATCTTGGCTCCACAGTTTATTAACTGTGGGGCCTTGATTAATTTCCTTCTGTCCGTGCGCCTCGGTTTTCTCATCTGTGTGTTAACTATGTGGTGAGCCTTCTGTAAGTGTTTTAAAATCTTTACAAGCCTGTCTTCAGCAAATTGGGAATGCCTTGCCCTGGGAGAACAAGAAAAATTTTGAAAGGTTTCTTGTCCCCAGGTTGCATTCCAGTGGAAGTCTCATTTGCAATAGGGGTAGCTGTCATCTTGGGCTGAGTACAGCAGGAAGTGATTGGGAAAGGACTGATATTCAAGGTTCTCCTGTGTCCCTCTTTCATCTCCTGCTATACTTTCATCTTCCTTCTTTGCTAGCTAATAAACGACTTTTCTAACCCTGCAAGGGCCATGATTTTCTGACTCTCAGCCCTCTTGGATTGCTGACGTCCTGCAGAAAGAGCCTTTAGGGAAAACTGTTTTCTTCCCTCTTTTTAGCCAGACTGTCTTAGGGTAAAGCTTATCTCTTTCATGAGGATTTAGCTAATGGCCATAGAGAAAACATACCTTACACCCTGACATTTTCTGCTGAGCCCTCAAGTCTGACCTCAGCAGGCACGGGGCTGGAGCTGACAGTTAGGATAGACAGTGGTTGCTTTAATCAGGTGCTGGTGGAACCAGGGCAGGGGATCACCAGTTTCCCAGAGAGGAAATTCCTGGTGAGTGATTTTCACTGCTTCTTACCCCACTTGGCTTGGCCAGTTACATCCCATCTCTGGCATCCATTTCTGTGTTACTAATAAAACGAATAGCATTTATCAAATAAGGATTAGATGCTTAGCACTGTCCTGAGCACCTGAAATGAAATAGCATTAAATCCCATCAGCAGCCTCCTGAGGTTTAAGTACCATGAAAGTTCCGTGTCCTCTTCCTGCCACACTCTGCCGTCCCACGTAGACGCCCAGACAGATCTCACCTTCAACCCATGTTTTGGTTGAAGCATGTGCTAGTGTGTGTTCTGCATTTTGACCCCATAGGAACAGTTTACCCCACACCATGTACAAAATCATCCCTTGTCCACGGGCTAGTTTTGTCATCTGAGTGAATCCAAAACTGCAGGAAGTAGTGAAGAAATGCTCAGCATAGTATTGGGTTGGCCAAAAAGTTCGTTCGGGTTTTTCCGTAAGGTGTTACACGTTTCCTTAACATCTTAACAGAAAAACCGGAACGAACTTTTTGGCCAACCCCATATTTTCTAAAATTCCCTAATGTATTTAAATACTAATTTAGAGAGATACAGCTCACTCATGCATTTATTTATTAATTTCCTCTGTCTTTGTTTTGAGTGCTCACTGTGTTCCAGGCACTTTTACAGTGTGGGAGTAGAGAGATAAACATAAGACTTGTGAAGGTAATGGCAAGGTGATGAGGAGAATGGCAGGTGAAGGTAATGGCAAGGTGATGAGGAGAAAGATCACTTCTGTACATTTTACAGCCTGTGTGGCGGGGACAGGGGTGGTTGTACTAGGGAGATCCAGAGGTGGGAAATTGTTAGGAACACACAAGAAAGGACAGGTACACTGGAAGGTTGGGCTGGATCCAGGTTACTTTGAATGGTTAGGCTAAGGAGTTTAGACTAGCTTTGGGAGGAAATTAAAATTTATTTCTCAAGAATACTTTTAGCTGTATAGGTAACAGAATACCTAATGGTGACTTTTTTAAAAAGGTTTTTGAAAAAAAATTTTTTTTTTTTTTTTTGCGGTACGCGGGCCTCTCCCGCTGCGGAGCACAGGCTCAGCGGCCATGGCTCACGGGCCCAGCCGCTCCACGGCATGTGGGATCTTCCCGGACCGGGGCACGAACCCGCGTCCCCTGCATCGGCAGGTGGACTCTCAACCACTGTGCCACCAGGGAAGCCCTGAAAAAATTTTTAACAAGTGAAGAGGAAGGAGATCTTAATTGTTCCAGCGGATTAATGAGGCCAGCATGGACTCAAGTCCTTTTTATCTTTCTGT